TTTATTTATTTATTTATTTAATTATTTATTTATTTATTTATTTATTTATTTATTTATTTATTTATTTATTTATATGTATACCCCACCCATTTAGTGAACATGTCACTACTCTGGGTGGCTTACAAAATACTATTAAAACCATATAAAACATATAAAACATATAAAAAGAAAACAAACAACCCCCCCAAATAAAATCACCCATCTGGTGCATAAGATGGCAGACAATGGGCCAGCATAATTTTACAAAAGGGTGGTGGTTGGGAAGGCCTGGGTAAAAAGCCAGGTTTTAATTTGCTTGCAGAAGCTCAGGTGGGGGGGGGAGCAGTCTTACCTTCACAGGAGAGTTCCAGAGCCGAGTGGCCACTACTGAAAAGGCCCAGTTTCTGGTTGATGCCTTCTGGGCCTCTTTTGGAGTGGCCACCCACAACATTAAAGACTGGGAGGTGCGGGTCTTTGATAGGAAGATGACCTGAGGCGCTCTGACAGGTAGCAAGGTCCTAATTTTTGGAGTGGCCACCCACAACAATAAAGACTGGGAGGTGCGGGTCTTTAATAGGAAGATGACCTGAGGCACTCTGACAGGTAGCAAGGTCCTAAACCATAAAGGGCTTTAGAAGTTAGCATCAATACCTTAAATTTGGCCTGGAAGCATACTGGCAGCCAGTGCAAGGGAGCACATGACCTCCCTGCCCCATAAAGGGGGTCAACCATGGAGGGCATCCCATGACTGTGGTGCCCTACCATCAAACCTGGATCCAACCCCATGCTTCCAAATTACCCCTAATCAAGCTGCAACAAGAACTTAGAGGACATACTCCACCTCTTCATTGTCTAACCGTGTTATGTCCAGATACCTGCTTAGAACAAACACTTTGAAGGAAAGTTCAAAACACAGAGGGAGTGAGTTACGGAGTTAGGGAGAAGCTCCAGGAGACAGAGAGAGCTCTGCATGGCCAGCAATGTTTTTTAAGTGGGAGGGAGGAAGGGAGTTAGGGAGAAGTTCCAGGAGACAAAGAGAGCTCTGCATGGCCAGCAATGTTTTTTTAAATTTTCCCCAGTGGTGGGATGTGGCATCCCCAGAAGTCCTGTCTATCAGAAAAAATTGTTCCCATTACATCAGCCCTTCTAATTGGCCAAATTTAAAACCAAGGGCAGGAGTAGCTCCACAGCGTGGTGATCCCTGGGAGGAAGGTGTGCAGCTGAGTAGGTGTTTGCCAAGCTCTCCAGCCCCAAGGCCACCATCACTGACAACACGCAGCCACCAGGTGAGTCCTGCACCATCGCTTGCGCAGCTGAGTCAGTTCTGACTAAAGCTACTCAGCTTGCAAGAGAACCCTCGTTCTTCTTTTCGTATCAGGGTTTTTCTCCGACATGCAACTCTCTGAGACAAGCTTGGGATGTTGCCTTTTTAAAAGGAACTTATTGCATCACTTGCTGTTTTGTGGAAACAGGACTTTAATTACCATGAGTAGCATTCCATCCCTAAAAGTGATTGTTTACAGTGCACTTTATTTAACGTTACTAGCATCCCAGAAAAATTGAGAGAAATAGCTTCTAATGGCCAATAATGTTGCACCTTGAAAACACTGCAAAATAAAAAATAAAGCAAAACAGTGCTTCCCTTGGCACTTAGAACTGGTAGGAATATGGCATACATCTAGAAAAATTCTTATATTTAAAAATAATTCTTGAAAACGAGTAGAAAATGTTACTGGTGTGCCAAAATAACTGTCACTATTTGCAACATTGCTTTTGGAATTATACCCTCCTTGCCCCAAGTAACTACATTACTTACAGCTATTTACTTCCAAGAGCTGCCTTTGAGTAAGCTACAATTTTAGATCTAAATTGCTATTGTAATGAGAAGTATACAACTATGTTCAATCAAAATTGTATAGACGGTAAGTAGATGTAGTACCAGTTTGAACACATTCCAGAGAAGCAGAATAAGCACCATGTGATTTATTATTAGTATCGCAAAATTAGGTTATGAGTCATAGCTAAGAAGAGAGGAAAAATGAATGACATTTTATTCATTCTTGCATATATATTTGTTTGCAAAGACGGGGAGAGAGTTGGTTCGTTGTGTTTCATTTTTGTGTTAGTCATTTTTCTCTAGTCTTCAGCTTTCACTTCATGTAGAAGATACTTGCTCTTGTTTTAAGTCATTGCTCATGTAACCCTACACTTCTGTCTATTTAATAAAAATAAATAAAACTAATGTCTCTTTAAAAGAAAGGTTTGGTTTCCCAGATGAGTGAAGTAGTATATTTCTGCCATTGATTGCTTCCTCCAATAAATTTTAGAGGGCTCATTATTTGTCTCTTTCTGGCATTCCCTAAGTGGAATGCTTTAGGTCCTCTATACAGTGGTATAGCTTGAGTGTATCCATCTTTCGAAACCAGAAATTGACCTCCAGCTGCTTCCAGCTGTGTTTTTAGCATCTTGAGAGGGCACCGTTAGCAATCTGTGTTATACCCAGAGGATAACACAAGCAGAAGAGTGGCCCTGGACATTGGGGAAAGTTGCTCACCCCAGTAGATTAAATGGGGAAGTTCTTTAGAGGGCCATATATACAGCTTCAGTTGACAAATAACGTTTCTCTTCTCCTAACCATGCCATTCTATGCTTGCAACTAATTTTGCATTTCCAATATGTTGGGAGATCATCACCATCACCACACTGCCATAATTTCAGCAATAAACCCAAACATATGTTTGACAATCCTGATTGGAAGACAAATAAAAGAACTAACTGGGCATCTTCTAGTATTACTGCCACTCTCCACCATTTTGTGTGGCTGCCTGATTCCTTTGAATTACAATTTCAGGGATTCTTCCTGTCTAATTTCCCATTCATTGCTGGTTGTGCAGACCTTTGTATTGTAAATCTAGGACTATTGTTTATGTACAACACTGTTTCAAAAAAAGTGGCTGACCACAGGACACCCCCTCCTTGTGCTAATCACCATAGTCTTTACCTGAGGAAAGAATATTGCACAACTGATATGAGATCAAATTTAGCGCAAGACAGAGTTCTTTAAGAAATATATGGAAAGGTCTTTGGGATCTATATTAACATGAACACATCCTGAGTTACTATGCAGAACTTGAGTAAAGAGTTGTATGATCATAGAACACAGACCTAATAGACAGGCTTGCATTTGTAGTCTGTGCATCACTTCGACACTTTGAATACAAATCCACAATAATAACAATTCTGCTATAATGCTTTTATTCTTACAGCACATGTCTTGCTACAGTTAGGGCTTGAGATGCCCTTGTGGCAAGAATTATCTTACAGTAGATTGGCTTTCTGAAACAAATTGTCCTTCTCCCTGCATTACATCTCAACTGCTATGCAATCGAGAGGGCCGAAGGCACAGTTCACTTGGGAAACCTGAACTCTTGCTATCTTCTCCTGCAACAGGAGAGGAATATTGCCAAGGGCATGTTTTTCTCACAATCTCTAGCAAGACATCTACTGTAAGACGATGTCATTTGTGATAAAACAATATCAAGCCTCCTCCCTGCTCTTTCTAGATACACAAGGTCAACTGCAACATGGTGGGAGAGGTACATTTATTGGAGTGGGATCTCACCTTTACAAGGAACAAGTACAGCTCCCTTGCAATTAAAGTAATTTGTGTGTGTGTGTGTGTGTGTGTGCGTGCGTGTGTGTGCACGTGTGTGTGTATATGTACGTGTTTGTATCTGTCTGTCTGTCTGTCTGTCTGTCTGTCTGTCTGTCTGTATGTATGTATGTATGTATGTATGTATGTATGTATGTATGTATGTATGTCTTTTTGTGATAAGCAGGTGGGAGTCTTGGGCATCTTGGCTCCTTTCAAGTTTGTGTAACTGATAATTTATGTATTATTGTCCTTCAGTCACTTCCTTCTACCTTATTCCAACAAATAGCTTAGTTCTCTGTTCTTTTTCTTTTCCAGTGGAAGGTCAGACATGAGACTGACTCCCTTTTGGTCTTCAGCACATTTGCACAGAGCGAAGCCAGCTCTCGGAGCCTGCATTCTCTAGTCTAGTTCTCTCCCACCCCCCCAATCTTTTATCTTGAGTGGGTTTCCAGGAACAATAAACTTACACTTTTCGTTTTAGCTTATCATGACTCTCCTGATTACCTGTAATTTACAGCCATATGCTCATCTTATTAGCATACTGCATGTTACTAACATAACTGCCATAACTTCCTAGAATTTTCAAAGAAAACTTTGCAAGAGTGTGAAGGAAGAGGAAACTTCCATTCTTCCTCCACCTTATTGTTATATTGCTGCAGGTATGTCTCACTGAGCCCAAGTCCTTTGCTAACACCACACCTGAGCACCAAAGCAGAATACTGTATGGTGGTATAAGATTGAGAGAAGAGGAGACACAAGACAAACATTTTGTTGTACAGTCCACAGCTTGGAAACATTACATTTTTTTTTGAATTACAACATCAAGAATCAGGATGAAGGATTCTGGGAATTGGAGTCTACCAAGGTAACTTTTCTGAGCTCTAATCCAGAGGATCCTCGTGTCTCATGCATCTGAATTTTCTGCAGGTGATCCTTTCAAGTTGAAAGCTGCCTTGAATATCATTTTTAATAGAAATGTAAGCAATATAATTTTTAGCATAAAAAACCAAAGAGAATGTGTGGTTTTGTTTCCTTCTGTATCATTACCCATACCTTTCAAAAAAGTCCTACATGAGAACAGCATACTTGCATATTTTATTGGCAGTAGCAATTTTTAGAAATTAAAGACTTGCCCACATCCTGTGGCTCCAGCACCTTCTCAATGGCGAAAGAGATCCCAATGAAGTCTCGAGACTAGAGATGGGGGTATTCACATACAAATAAGAATACCCCCACACAGCTAGACGTAACGATGGTCTGGCCCCCTGGGGCCGGACTGTCCATTCACATGTACGTGGCCGCTGGCAGCTCCGCTCTCCCTTCCAATCGCTCTGGAGCACCCAGTCGGCTATCCACTCGCCAGCCTGGCAGTGAGACTTGTCTTCCCTCCTTCTGCGAGAAATGGCTAGCCGAGCGGGAGCTACCTCATTACGTCCAGCTGTGCGGGGGTATTCGTATACCCCCATCTCTACTCAGGACCTTTGGGAGTATGTGTGGGCAATTTGGACATTTCCAAAACATCACAGTGGCTGAGCACAACATAGGTAATTTTACGCCTTGGATATTTTACTTACTCTGAATTTTCTATTTTCAGTTTCACTATATGATGCAGAATGGTGGATGGGCACTATAGAAATAGATAGAAACATTTGAAATGTGGATTCACTGCAGAATCATAAGGATTTTTTGGATTAGAAATGTGACCAGTGATGAATTTCTAAGGTGAGTGACTAAAGACCAAGAAATCATAAAATATATAAAATACAAAAAGCTAAAATGGTTTGGCCACATACTGGAAAGAATGCCGTTCAATTCAGCCCGCTGGCATAAATTTCAGTGGCAAATTGTTACTAATTAAGAAATCAGCACTGTTTTTCCTTGTTGCACAGCAGTCATGTGATTTTGTGTATGATCAGAAAAACCAGTGCCAACCTCTTAACTGTTAGTAACTTGCAGCTCAAATTTATGCTAATAGAGTTACCTTAGTGTCATTATATAACAGGATTCTAGCCATTAGGAAACAATAAAATAAAGTAAAGATTGCAACAGCTGATTATCAAGCATAAAATAAACAGGAAAAGATGTGCAGAGAATAAACTGTCACACCTCAAGTTAGATTACTTGGAGTGCTGTGTCCTGTTCTGGTCACCACAATACAAAAAACACTGACGCCCTGGAAGGAGGTGCAGAAAAGAGCAACAAAGATGAAAAGGGGACTGGAGACTAAATCCCATGGAGAATGACTAAAAGAACTAGGTATGTTTAGCTTAACAAAGAGAAGACTGAGGGGAGGCATGATAGCAGTCTTTTAATATCTGAAGAGTTGTCACAGGGAAGAGGCATCGATTTACTCTCCATTGTGCCTGAGGTCACAGGGAACAGAGCATCGATTTACTCTCCATTGTGCCTGAGGGTAGGAGAACAACCAATGGGTGGAAACTCATCAGAGAGATCCAACCTGGAAGTAAGGAGGAATTTCCTGACAGTAAGAACCATTAAGCAGTGGAACAGCTTCCCTCCCAATGTTGTGAGTGCCCCATTGCTGGAGGTTTTCAAGAAAAGATTGGACAGCCATCTGTCCGGAATGGTATGAGATCCAAGATGGTATGAGGTCTCCTAGTCCAACCTCCTGCCCAAAGCAGGAGGCCTCATACCATCTCGGATCTCATACCATTCCGGACAGATGGCTGTCCAATCTTTTCTTGAAAAAGACTTCCAAGGTCGCTTCCAATCCTATGATGATTCTACAATTCTGAGATATTACAATTTCATCTCAAGATGAAAAGAAGTTCAATTCTGTGATACTACAATTTCATCTCAAGATGAAAAGAAGTTGGCAGCTCTGGACTGAACAGTCTTATGACCTACCTCTCTTTGGATAGCAGTGTGTATTATTATTATTTTGTGTACAAATCCATTTAAAGTACTCTGCATCAAGGGACATTCACTCAAAGTTGCATCAAAACAAGAGCCTTTTTAAAAAAAAATTAAAGTAGTGAGAAAAGTCATGTACACACTGCCTTGAGTTTTTTTTCAAAGAAAGTTGGGACTGAAATGTAATCAAGCAAACCGGTATGTTTAGGAAGCATGACTATGTGTTTGCTGGATTGGAGACAGAGCTCAGCCAGTGATAGTTGATATTCTGTCCTGCCTGATCATCCTCTTTCTGTATGCTTTAAAACATTCTCTCAAGTCAGTTGTCAGAGATGGGAGCATCAAACTACCATATAAGCCAAACCTTCACATAATGTGCAAAAAGTGGAAGTATTGGGGGGGGGGGGAAATGTGAAAACCAACTAACCAAGAAATCTCTAGAGGAAGCATCCTTCGGGATGCAGCAGGCAAAAGTTTAGACATAATTAATCAAAGGGAAAATGTGGTTAGAGAGATCAGGAAGCATTTGCTAATGTGCCAGAACAGTCCTCAAGGGGAATTAGGGAAATCCACATAGCATGAGCTCTGTAGGCTGTTCAAAGAACTGAAGAATATAATTGGGGGAATAGCGTTGCTGAAACTGGAGGGTTAGGCTGGATGGGAGGATCAAACAGAGCTACTGTTTACTTAAATGTTGTACAATATTCATTATTGATAAAGGAAAGGTTGAATAGTTGCTGGATAAACAGCTGCCCCTGGTACTTTGATAGTCAGGAACTCACCCCTGTGCCAGTAGAGAGAATTATCTCCAGGATTTGCTTTGTCCAATTAGGCTTTGGAGCAGCTTCACAAGAGTCATTCAAGAAATCATAGAAATTTCCAGTGTAATCCCCTAATTGTCCCTTTTCAGAACCATCTGACAACTATTTTAAAATTACCACCTAGTTCACTGCTATAGGTGGTACTACCATTAGCTAGTTACTTCTTCTCCTGATCAGAAAACATGCAATGCATTTTTCTCCTTTTGAGGGTCAGTGGGTTTTTTTATTAGCAATTTTTCAGAACCCTTCCAAAGGAGCAAAAATTCTATACCAATTGATTGTAGTTAGTTGCTGCTATTCGCAAAGGAGAGTGGTGCCTACAAGGAAAAAAAATCTCCAAACTGAACTTGAAAAAGCCATGTCTTAGAAAACCATTTCTCTTTAGGAAATCACTGAAATCCTTGGGAAAATAATTCTTGTAAAGCCACTTCTGTGCTGCAGCTTCTCTTCTGCAATGTGTGTATGTTTGTGTGCTGATTTAAAATGTAATTGAAAACATCCAATTGACTGGGAATACTGTATTATTGCTTCTTGTTCCCTGCACTCTGAACTACCTCCCTCTTGTTTAAAACCAAGAAGGGGGGCACATTTGCCCCATATATTTTGGACTATAGATTCTATGATCCCCTTGGCATATTGGCACACTGGTTAGGACTGCTTTGATTGCAGAAATTAAATTGAAAGCATCACTCAACTCTGGCCCCTAAAAAAAGCTAAGATGAAGCAAACAAGGGGTACAAAAACACACAGAAAATCACAGAAGATGATGGAAAATGTCATTGTACTGACTGGCAGAAGGCATTGTCGCATGGACAATGGGAAATCAGGTACATAAGGAGGAATAAATACTCCATCTGGAGCAGCCCTTAGAAAGAAATTCTAGTAGAACTTCATTTATCTTTGCCAGCTGCTAGATTCATATTAAATCTCTCTCTCTCCCCCCTGCCCTTTACATGCAATAGGCCAACACATGCTGTTTTGATGTCCACTTCCATTAGAATAGTTTCTCAGTGTTGATAAAATTGTTTAAACAAAGCAAACCTCTGAGAATCACATACAGTGCAATCAAAAGATGATATAAGCACATATACATGATGTTTTGTGTGTGCACACACACCTGTCAAAACGCTTGTAGCTATTTTTAGTCAATGAAACCAATATATCCAATGGAAAATGTATACACTTTAGCAAAGGGCTAAAGATTGGATCTATTTTTCAACAGGGTGATCATATTTGTGTGTTATAGGAAAACAAGAGTCCTGCATAGGCACTGGGCTGCATGTGTGAAAAATGCACTAATTGTGTTGGGGATGTGAGTATCCACATAACCCTTCTCCCCACCCGCAAGTCCCAAAGATATTTGCACATTCAAAGTGAAAGTCTGAGAAAGGGTTCGTAAGAATGTTCCGTTGAAAGCTCCTGACCATAGCAGCTCTGTAAGCATATTCTAGACCTCAGACAACTTCCTCTTCAGACTGTCCAGCTAAACAAATAAACATGTGACTTCTGAGTGATGCAGTCTTGGAGGGGCAAGACTCAGGCGCATCCCGACATCCCCAGCAATGATTCAGGCCATATTTACACAAAGAATATGGGAACATCTGAGGAGGACTAAGGAGGGTTGTGATTTAGTGACACTACACTGTTTTTTTAACCAGTGTTGCACTACTTACTGCTAGCTCTTTACATCAGGGCCTAGTTCTCCAACTAACTAGCTTCAAGTTACTCTCCTGTCGCACATCCCCCCTCCCCAATTTTCACCTCAAGGAGATTCCCAAACCATATAATCCACTGCAAAGACCGGGGAATAGGCATCT